CTTTTGCCAACAATTCATTTGAGTTGAGTTGAAGGTTACATTTTTCTACAATTTTCAGTGTGAGAGTATGCTTCTGCAATAAAAAATTTAATTTATTTTAAGGCTTTTAACACATCTTAACCAGGGGTGCCAATAATTATGGAGGGCGCTGTATATGCTCTTTTGCACTTTTAATAGAGTATTTATTTTATATTGTATAGCTATTCTATTATTTATATCACCTTTTAACTTTTTTTCTTGGACTGTGACCTTATTAGCTGCTGCAAAGATGATACCAAACCAAATTTCATTGTATCTCTTGTACAATGACAATAAAGCTTCTTTTTCTCCTTCTTCTCTATACAGACACAAACAGCATGTACATACGAAATTAAATAGAAATAAGTGAGTAGAAGCCAACAACATCCAAGTCAATGAGCCCACCAGCTAGTAGGAACAGGTAAAATACACTGCAACCATGAATGGAAATATTTCTGAACAGATATCACTACCGAGGTGGCGTTGATGTGGCATTCAGTAAACCATCCAGGCTGCTGCGCTGTTAGTTGTACGGTCCCACAAGAGCCAGAAGAGGGCAATCACTCACCATCAACATGAACATAAACAGATTCCAAAATGCATTCAGTTAAAAAACGATAAAGAGAAAATCACATTTGCAGTAGGAAGAGTGTGTTGCATCTAAATCAACCTTAAATTATTAAAGATTTCATTTCAGCTGCAATAAAAACAAAAAGTCAGCTGGATAAAAGAACCTTGACAAGGCTGGTATGTAATAAAAGTCATAGGGTAGGGCAAATTGGAGGCCTTAACTTCCCAGTCACACCATACATCATGACGTCCTGGGAGACTCCTTCCAGCTGAAGATATGCCACTTGTTAGAGAATGAAAAGGTCCCATTTCACTGTGTTCTGTCAAACCTGCAATGTTCATCATCTTTTTTTTTGAAGGGAAAATATGTCTATTAATACGGCCTTTGTGTATCTGTGAGTGTCACTTATGTGATTCAATGTGCCGGGCTTTCTCATGTCACATTCAGGGGGCCTGTCGCCTCAGAAGACATGTGAATAAAAGGGTAATATTTTAGCTGTCAGGAGCCTGAATTAACAATGCATTGACTCTGTGACGAGTGAGTGACTTGGCAGTATGCTTCTCATTTCACTTAGGGTGAAAGATTACAACAGGGGGGGCCACTGGGGCAGAAAGATTAGCATGAGGGAAGGGGATGAAAGAAGGAGAGGAGAAAACAGGTGGTTGAATGCGAGAAGTGGCAGAGAGAGAGAGAAAAAAGCGAAGATGAAGAAGTGGGAAGTTAAAAGAAACTGAAAAACAGAGCGAGGGCAAGAGACTGTAGAGGAGACAGAATGGGACAGGATGCGAACAAATGAGGGTGAACAAATGACTGATTGAGAAAGGGGGAAATTGAGGAGAGTAAAAAAAAAAGAGAGGAAGAGACTGAGAAGAGGAGGCTGGAAAGAAGAGAGGAAAAAGTGATGCACAGAGGAGGATCAAAGAAGAGGAAAGGTCTGGATGAAGAGAGGATGAAAGAAGGGATAGGAGGATGAAGGGATGGAAAGGAGAGAGAGAATTGAGGAATAAGGGGGAGAACAGAAGAGATGGCGGGAGAGGAGATGGAGAGGAGGTAGGGTGGTGATGAGTCATCAGCAGGCTCTCAGCCTCGGTGGGCCGGGTTGCTGTGGGGGTGGCAGTGTGACACATATGCAGAAACACACACACACACACAGAGGGTTGCTGGCCGTCATGCTGCTTATATGTCTCCTCCCGCTGCGGAGGCGGGTGGAAGACAATACAGGGGATGCCACTGGGATGCACGGCTCACGGCTTCGCACTCGCAGCCCCTTTTCCCTCTGACACACACATGCACATAATGATGATGACTGGACAAGAGGCCTCATTAAGACTCTGAGGATGGATGGATGGCGACGTGTAAGTGCAGATGGATAAACAGTCAATACAGCTGTAGGAAAGAGAAAAAAAAAAGACAGAAAGGAAGAACACCTCATGCCTTTTTGCATCTCTTGCATACACTTTCCTTCATCATTCATACTTTATTAGGTGGTGTATATGCAGAGGCGGATGTTGTAAAAAGGGAACAGACAGAGAGGAAGACATGCAAAAAACATGGGCCTGGTATTACATATACTCTTGCAATGTTCCTCTTATTTAGGCAGACAGATGGCTTCATTGGCTTTTAATGTTTTTCTCAGCTTGTGGACCAGTATGTTTAATGTTATTTATTTGCATGTTTGAGAAACTCCCTACATGTACACATGGTGCATTTACAGTATACCACACACGTCCTTTGTCTAATCCTACATGGAGAAGAAAGGGCGGACACCCTGCAATAAATCACTTCCTATGTGACATGCAAGCTCTCGTCATTCTGTCTCTCTCTTTGGTGCTGAGTCGATCTCAGAGTTGCCATGCCAACAGATTGGGGGATTCCTAATTCTGATCTAGGCCACTGCGCACACACACACACACACATACGCCACAAGTGCACGAACGCATGCAGATCAACAAACACACATCCGCACTTCCCAGTGAGTAAATACAGTTTATCAGTGGGCTGCATGTGATGGTGTTTCCCTGCACTAACCATGGCAACATGGTTTCAAAATCAATAGTTTTGTGTGCGGCATGTCACAGAGAGATCGTGTGAATGAGAGCAGATCAAACAGTTAATCAGGTCACCGATTTCTTTACACCTACTTTAGCACAAACACAACCATGTGAACTTGCAGGCAGCAATGCAAAGAAAGGCAGTGACACGTTTACACTACAAACATGTAGGAAAAAGAACACTCAGATCACTGATGAAATTTGAAAACCTTTGTAGGAATCTCTGTTTAATTTTTAAACTCTACATACATTCATACATCTCTCAAATATAGAGGAGCAGACAGTACGTGTGAGAGTATATCTGTTTGGGTGTTTGTGTGTGTGTGTGTGTGAGTGTGTGTGAGAGAGAGAGAGAGAGAGACAGGGATGCAGGTTGGGTTAGCTGCCTTCTGCACACCTGCATATTTCTTATGTGCTTACAAAATGTGATGGAGACACATAATGCAGGACAGAAAGACACTTTGGGCACAGAAATACACACTGAGTCTGCATACATGTCTGAGTGCATTAGTGTTGTGTAAACTAATAGTGTGTGTTTGACATGTGCCCCATCACGGGTTGCAATGAAATGCTAGATGAGCAGCTAAAAGAGGACCGTAGTATTTTAAAACGGTCATGTTTCGAATGACAGAAAAGTTAGGTCAGGTTAGTCTGTAAACATTTTGGCATTAAATCTTATTGAAAATATAGTTTGCTATATTAACCTGCATTGGTCCCAATCAGAAAACATCTAATCCCTTGAACATACAGGAAAAAAAAAGTATATTTACAGCCACTGATTACACTAAATATTATTTCATAGCCTTGTAAAAGTACGTATTCTTGGAGGACCTTGTCAGTGACTGGGTGTGTAACTGTGGGTGCATCTATGCTGCTCGTTTATATATGTATGTCTTCATACATTATTTATGTAGTAAGTAAGCATGTAAGTGTGTGATTGAGTCGGTGAAGTATGAGTTTGTGCATGAATGCTTCCATACGTGTGCCTTTTGGTTTGCCTGCGTATGCATGTGCAATATGGATGCAAGTATGTATGTGAATGTACAGTATATACACACACATACTTACAGTCACAAATGCATACGCGTAATTATGGATGTTTATCAGGTATTCATGTATCCCTGCATTACTGTTTGTATGGACATATGAACGTGTGTGTGTGTGTGTGTGTGTGTGTTAGTCGCTGTCCTCTCTCTCTTGGGTCTCAGGCAGTGAGCTCTCATCAATATTCTCCAGGCTCTCTGCACGCTGGATGCTGAGCTCGGAGAGTGGGATGCTGGGTAATGTAGTCTGTTCAGGGTAGAGCCAGGGCTTGAAGCCAGGGTTGTGTCTCTGCTTCCAGTCTTGATACTTCAAGCAGGCTTTGTTGATTTTCTTCATTGCCTAAAAAAAGCAACACAGGTAAACAAGAAGAAAAGGACAACAAGTGTTTAATTATTTTTTTTGATTCGCGCTGACCCATAACAAATTCAGTTGACAGAAAGGAAATGATGGAGCTGACTGCGAGAAATTATTTGTGCTTGAAAAGTTTGCCAATATTTCTTTTTGGTAAATACTGAGATAAGGCGGACTGGGCTGAACTCAACAGATACAGAGGACAGAAATAGTACTCCAAAAAAATAGAGACAAACATGGATGAGTGACAGGATAAATGGAAAGAAGGAAAGCTGTGAGAGATATGTATAAAAGTGAAATGTGGGTAGAGAAGCCAAGAGGGAGATGCTGGGAGTTAATCTTGTATGGAGCTTTAAGATTACATCCAGACTAATGCATTTTCATGTTAAAGTGCCATTTCAAAGCACTATGCCCAAAATAATCATAGTCCATACTGCTTGCACACCTGTAAACACATATTATAAGAGCATTCATGTATACTGGGCATGAGCCAGGGTAAATATGGAGCAGAGGGTAGGTTGCTTAGTTGTAAAACATTCTACAAAGGAAGAAAAAAAATGGCAAAAAGCAAGACTAGTGAATTATTTGCATGGACCAATGCCAAGGTGGCGCTGTTTCTGAAAGTAAGTAACACAAGCTGATGTCTTTGCTGTCTTCCAGAAAAGGGTAACATCATACGGGTGTGCCAGATAAGGGAAGGACACGTAGCAACTAATAAGAGCCATTCATGTAGCAAATATAAGTGACTGCATCATTGTTTCCAAAAGTGTCCCTTCCAGGTCAAAAGATGTCAGTTGCCAAATTAAAATGGGGTCAGCAGCATTTTTAAAAGTCTGTTTTATGGGTATTTGGACACCAGAGTAATGTGGCTGCTACCTGGAAACATAGCAAAATGATGTGTTTCAAAACAAAAACATAAATGTGGATGCAAGAGGCCTGTTCTCATGTCGGGAATCATCAGGTACTTTCACACATTTCTCATCGTGTCAAAGGTAAAAGAGGAACCGCATATATATATATATATATGTGTGTGTGTGTGTGTGTATGTATGTATGTATAAAAGGACGGCCAATGGTTTAAAATTAGAAATGTTAACACTATTTATATCTTGACATATGAATGATAAGTTCTCCAAACACCGAGTGAGAAAATTCTTCCTGGATTCATCCAGTTGAAGCCATCAGCATGGTTATTTTCGCGGGGATCTGCACATCCCACTGAGCTGCTATTTTCTGACACAGCCATCAAGAGACTCCTCCATCCCAGGGTGTTCTCTAGAGAGTCTTTGCCCTATTTCAACAAACATGCACACACCCTCAAACAGACAAATACATACAGTAAACAGCCTGAATCTGGAATGTGTAGAAGAGACTGTACTTTTTTTTTTTTTTTAACATGCATAAAAGGTCTGCACATTCTCATTGTGTCAGGCACTGTGCTGTGTGCAACCTCAAGGCACAGTGTTTGGATTAACACATGGACAAACACACGACACGCTCACAGAATCTGTGTTAATCTGCACATGACTTACACGAGGAGCGAGTAAGTGGGAAGACTTGTTGACAACCCACTTGGGTAACGATCCTGTAAAGAGAGAAAGAGAGAACACAGTAAGACGGATAAAAGTGTGAGAATCAAAGTGAAAGAGAGCACGAAGAGGATGGCGAGGACATAAAAGAGGGATTGAAAGTTTGCTTTATTGCATTTCATGTCACTGGCATCAAAGTGAAGCTTAGTAAGTTGCTTCTCACTGCACCCAGATGGCTTTCACACACGTGGAAACATACGAATTACCAACGGGTAATTAAAGAGATTTGGACAATCAGCAATTGCACGCATGCAAGCAAGAGTAAAGAAGTGAATTAAAGGAAGAATAAAGGAAACAGAGCGAAAGGAGGAAGAGGGACACAGAGAGGTGCAACAGTGAAATAGACTGTCCTTCATATGGTTACTATGACAACTCATTTTGACATAAAGGCAATGGAATGAATAATTCATAGAACATAGAGCATGCTTTAAGCACCTTGGTGAATGTACTGGTGTGTTTCAGCCTTTTTGTGCATGACTGTGTGCTGTGTTTGTCCTTGTGTCCTCACTGCCGGTGTAAGTGTGTTACTTACCTCGTGGATCTACCTGGGCCATATAGGTGAGAGTACAGTGATTAGGTCCCTGGCTTTGAATCATGTACCCCGTCTGAATGGAAACAACGCGCACCATGTCCTTTTTAGGAGGGTATTTCTGTGGAGACAACACAGTGTTAGCCAAAGTTACTCTATACGTCAGTGTAAACGTCTTTCAAGTCTTACCCACATGCACCCACAAGCAGCGATCCCAAGAAATTATTTTCTGACGTCAGCTTCATGTGTACAACAAGGCTCTTTGTGAATGTCTATCAAGTGGTGTTTCAAAGGTTTGCAGGGTAGACACTCTGGGGATGTTTTCAAGCTGCCAGTCAAAGCGATTTTCTGCTTCACAGTCACATTTTTGATGTAAATCCAGTCACCGCTCCCCGTTGAATAACATAGCAGCAAAGGCCAAATATAGCCAACTATTTCACTGCTCGCCCCTTTGACTACATATCTAAGATTTTTATTCATGGTAATGAAGTACAGTACTGGTTAGTCTGTATTAATTAGGACAGGCACAGTGCAGAGAGCCTGAGAAGCACACAGAGCAGCAGCCAGCTATGAACCGTTATCAGAGGAGAACTTCAGATAACTGCTTTATCTTTTCCCCACTTCTTGACTCGTATTTTTGGCAACTGCACTTCTCTACTAAGAGGTTACACTACAGGAATTTCTGCTGACAGATATCATGAATCAGCTTCAGGTTTCAGGAAGTCAGATTCAGCATAGAGATAATGGTTTTATAGCAGGAACTTCTTGAAACATCCACAGCACCCGAAAACTCCCTGTATCCCTCTTACTAAACTTTGTTTTTTTGGCTTTCGTTCAGACAAAATAAACATATTTAATATACCACTTTGACATCTGGTAACTTGAAGTTGCCATTTCTTATTTTTAAAATTTGAAACATAAGTAACAAGTCACATGGTCTACAGCCACGCTAGCAGCTCTGTGAGGCTGTACTTACTCATAGTGAACTAATGCAGGCTGACAATGTTAACAAGATGACAATTAGCAGGCATACATGTAGTGTTTACCATCATCTTAGCATGTTAACACTAATTACACAAAGTGCAGCAGAAGTCAATGGAAACGTCATTAGTTTTGTGGGTATTTGGTTGTAGCCGAACAAAAATTTAATGGGGATACATGAAAAGTCTGGGGATCACTAAAATTCTTAGCCATATTCTGGGCACAATCTGTCGTAAATTTCACCCACACAACATCAATCAATCAAGTAGTTGTTGAGACATTTCCACATAAGCCAAACCAGCGAACAGGCTGATGGATTGGACCTGCTATTTCTGGAGTCATGCCACCATTGTGGCTAAAACAACATTCTCTACATCAAATAAAGTAGTCATTAGTAGCCATTAGTGGCCATTAGCTGTTGCCCTAATATAAATATGTAGCTCTCTCATGCAAGTACGAATGAGACCCTATCACAATCTGTCCAATTGCATGTTGTGCAGTGGAGCACACCACAGTTAATACACACGGCAGGTGGATGGCTGAAAAGCTTTGCATATTTATGACTGAATAACAGTTGGTATTAATCATGCGAAAGATGAATAATGAATGTAGTAGGAGATACAGAAAAGGTGGACTGACTCCTGCTGGTGGATGCATGAAGTCACCACTTTACCAAGTATCAACATAAGCTAAAATCTACAAGCAAAGCCCTCAAGTTCATCTGATTATCAAGAGTGACCTTGGTGTATCACACACACACACACACAACACACACACACACACACACACACACACAGTCTATTATGTTTGTAACCACTAATTGATGCAGGAATGCGGAAGGCGAGACGGAAGTCAACAGCAAAGAGTCACATGAGAGGCCTTATCCTTTTGTAAACATATATTAGTGAGCGATACTGAGAATGAAAAACGGAGAGGGAAAAGAGAGAAACAGAGACTGGGGACAGACAAAGAACAAGACAGAAATGAAAAGCAACAAAAGACTTCAAAATGAGAAGAGAGACAGAAAAGACTGAGCGAGGGACAGCAGAAAGAGTTTATTGATCAGTTGATTGTCAGAAAATTTGTCGATTTTCTAAAAAATGCCAAACATCATTGGTTGCAGCTTCTAAGTTGTGAAAAATTGCTGCTTTTCTTTGTATCGTGTAACACCAAACTGAATATCTTTTGTGAACTTTTTTTTTTTTTTTACCCTTTTACGACATCTTAAAAAGTAGTAAGTAGTAATAAGTAGTAAATTAATCCGTACAGAAAATAACTGGCTGTTGTTTCCCTACAGACAGGTTATGAGAACATGCTTTTTCATAAGACGGTTCTTCCAGTTGGACAGGTAACAAGGAAAGAGACAAACAAAAAGCCAAGGTTTCAGGCCTGATTCCAAACTAAAAGTCACACACGTGGCGTTCTTTAATCAGTATGTTTTTTTTTACTGATCGTTGGCATTCAAAGAATCAAACTCTTAAAAAAGCTAAATTGGAAGCTGAACTGAAAACACAATACGTTCAAGTAAACCATGCTAACTACCCCAAGGTTAAACTAAAGCATTGCTGCCATAGAGTACACCTATCATTCTTTCAGGTAAAAGCATCATTGACAGGAGGTATGATGATGCTCTCTCTTTGGAAATGTACCAGAGCGTCATTACTGTCTGGATGGACTGGTTCTGTATAAGATGAGTAGAATTTTAAAACACTAGTACACACGCAACTTTGCATTGCTGCCTTACCACAAAAATCTAGGGCTGTTTTTATTCAGCACAACACCCAGAAGTGTTTATGCTGGCTCACCCCACTACATGCTCATTTCAAAATCAGGCGTTTGTTTTCGCAAAGCACCCATAACACCCATATAGGTTATGGTGACTGAGCAGAGCCATGGCTGGCTGAGTGCCGACCCTGTGTGTGTGGGTTTTTCTGCGTATACTCACAGGATGTTTGACAGAGTAGTTCATGATGATGTAATCTTTCCCTATTGGCAGCCAGGAGCGAAGTGTGATGACATCCCGATTCCGAAGAGGCTTCGGACACTTCCCTTTTAACAAATAAGATAACGCTCGTGAACAATGTGGCCTTGCTGTTGTGTCTCTGCTTCCCTTTAAGCCTCAAATGAATGCAGATGAGATGTATTAAACTGTACATGTTTACAAGTGAGTGTGAAACATACATGAGTAGTAACCAACATCTGCGTTGACCGTAAGTTTCCCGATGTCGAAGGTCTCAATGACGTTTGAGTCCCATTTCTTTCTGTACTCAATGTCATGGAGAACATCGTACATAGTCTCAGCTGACACGTCCTTACACATCATCCGACACTGAGAGAGAAAGAAAGAGAAAAAGATTGTTAATTTTTCGCCAGTAAATAAAAAGCGCACAGAGCCCACACACACTAAAACCAATTTATGGAATGTGTATTTACCATACATGACTAATGCATAAGCACCAATCACGCAGTACTTCACATTTCATAGCTCTGTGTCTCTAATGCGAGCTATGGACAAGGAAAATCCATTAGATTTTAATGAAGTTGCGTCCCATAAATTCAAAGGGAAACACTGTGCCATTGTTGAAAAAAGCTACAGAGTTTAGATGTATTCATGCTGACAAAGGTAAATGGGAAACAAAAACAAACTCTAAGGAGCACATCAAAGACCTGCAAAAAAAAAATGCAACATACATATTCTGGCATGCAAACAGAACAAATAAATGCAGGTTTTGGAAGATCCTGCACATCATCAAATTGAAAGAAACACACATATAGATTTGGCGACTGATGTGTAAATGATAAGACATCACATGGTTGGAGGGTGTCAAAGAGCAGAGAAAGAGACAAAGTGTGTCTGTGAGAGAGACAGAAAATTAGAAGAGATACCTCTGGCTATAGATGAGTCATTACTAGACCTCAGTGCTTAAATGGAAAACAACACATCAGTTACAAGACAGACAGAGGCAGACACGCATACGTCAAATGGTCGGCGAGATTGAAGCAGTAGCAGGACGACTAAATGCTGAAGCCAACACGTCTACTAATGTTTACTAATGTCTACTAATGTTTATTGATTTTTGAAAGAATCCCCCGAACATTCCTCCTCCAGGATTGATAATGAAGCAGTGGAGCAGGTCAGCAGTTACAAGTACCTTGGTGTTCACCTTGATGACAAACTGTCTTCTACTATTCATGTAGATGCTGTGTGCAAGAAGGCTCACCAGCGTATTTATTTTTTTAGGAAGCTGCAGAGTTTTAATGTTAACAGTTCTTTTATGCGAATGTTTTGTTTTATTCAGTCTCTTTTAACCTTTTCTTTTATTTGCTGGTTCGGCTCCCTCACTCTTAAAAACAAAAATAGACTACAAGGTATTGCTAGACTGTGCGGAAAAATAGCAGGGACTAACCTAAATAACTTGGCAGCCCTACATCAAACCAGGTTACTAGCCAAGGCCCGTTTAATCACCACAGACCAGAGCCATCCCTTGGCCCACTGGTTCCAATTACTTCCGCTGGGGCGCAGGTATGTCCTGCCAAAGTGCAGGACCAATAGATGTAAATTTTCTTTTGTCCCTGCTGCTATTTCCTTGTTAAATAAGTGATCGGTCTTGTTTTTCTCTGCTGATTATTGTTGTTGCTGCCTGTGTGATTGTGGCAGTGACTGTCTCATTGCTGGCTGCACAAAAATTTTCCCACGAGGATATTAAAGATTTTTGAACCTTGAACCTGCTGTTTGAAAACAAAAGTATTTATATTACAAACTTGGTACAATAAAACACACTCAGAAGGTACTGCACTGATTTGGGATCCTAAAATCTACTTTAAGAAACCTTGAATTAAATCATAGCGATGCATTTTAAAGCAAAACCTAAGAGCAAGTTATCATTTATACATCCATATCACAGACTGCTGATGTGTGTGTTCTTGTAGATGTGCTGCTGCTTATTAATGAAACCGTGGGGATTCCTGCATGTGTTCGGAATAGACAGCGCTACACCCCAGGAAAAGAGAGAGGTCTGCAGCCCGAGAGCAAAGGTGTTACTACAGTTACAATCACCAGAGGGAATAAGTCTTAATAATAACAACAGAGACAGAAAAGAAGGAGTCATGTGAAGACAAAAGAGAGTGATAAATACAACAACAACAAAAAACAGCAGTGAAGGATGAAAGACACAAAGAAACACTTAAAGCAAGTGATAGACACAAAGAGACAGAAAGAAAACCAGAGCAAGAGAAGAAGAAGAGCACATGAAAAAGAAATGGACCAAGTGTACTGTAGTCGTCTGTCCCAGATGATTTTAACTCCCATTACAAATCAGTCCAGAAGGTTTAAAGCTCAATCTGAACTATCTTCCTTCCCTTGTTCCCTGAGGGCTTAATTTAAGAAAATGATCACCAACTTCACTCTGCATTTGGCTGCAAAGCTGTTTCAGTGGGAGGTCTCTTCTCAGTCTTTAGTAACAATAGTTACAGTTAGTGAAATACAATTTACTTACCTTTGGTGTAACAGCACAAAATGTGCCCTGACCATTTCAAATCTCGTTATCTAAATTGTTCCTTAGATATGGATCAATAAAAACCTGCACTAATAGTCACTGATTAGTTACTCTGTCATATAAAAGAATAAAATAACAAACCACAGTCACATTGACAGCCATGTGAGACTGACTTTAGGCACAGCTTGCTTTAGGGTAAATGCTGTCAAGCAGGTATAACATTTAGCGTGTTCAGTTTAGCGCGGCAGCATGATAAGATTTGCTAATTAGAACTAAGCACAAACAGGCATTTGTTTTGGATAGACCGAAGCGCTGGAGACTCACAACTTTGACTCGATGTTGGCACAAGAGGAGAAGCTGGATGATTGCCAAAGCTATTAAAGTTTCATTGATCGAATATAGACTTTTAAAAAGTCACTTTGAACATTTATCATAAAAAGCAGTTTTTCACTTTCTTGGGAGTTGGGAGTCTATTGAGAAGAAAAGAACTCATCTTTTCAAAGCACCTTTATAGGTGAAGACCCAGAAGTGAAGTTAATTGCTCTGAGACCAGATATATCATTAACTCTATGTCCTTTTTTACTTTACCGCTACTGAATCCAAATCAGATGTGTACAACAATGTCAGTGTGTGCACTGTATCTGAAAGCTACGTGCACTTGTTGCAACTGAGTGAGCCACGGCTGTTTAAACAAACTTTAGTTTTATAGTCCTTAGACAAAGACACAGGCTCACAAGGGCTTCACAAGAGCCACATGGTGAAACAAAAGATATTGAAAATGCTAAATTGAAATGACATCCCTAAACACAGAACCTACACTGAGAACAAGTAAATGTAGAGTGAGTGCAGAGATCAAGGAAATACAGAGTGAATGCTGACAATAAAACAACAGAACAGACAGAATACAAAACACGTGAATCTGATGCAAGTGAATCATCTGGTTTCATCTCATCATTATGCTAATCAAGGACATAAAGGAGCTCTTCAGTGGCTCTTTAGAAGGAAGAATGAGTTCTGATTTCACGGTCAAACACTAATACTCAAACTATGCAGAGAAATTACCTGATAGTTAAGTAATTTTCATGGGTAATGGATGTTTTTTTCCACTTTGGACAGCAATCAAAAGTAAGTAAGTACAGTTCAGAAGATTTGAGGGCAGCCAGACAAGAAGTCACGTAGAAGCCAAACAAAGTTGCATGCAAGATATGTGGTCACACTACTCAGCAAAGTGTGAACTCTGACGATAAGAGCAGAACTGTGTTGAGTGAAAGGCACAAAAAGAGCCTTAACTGGTTGCAACACTATCACAGAACTAAAAACCCACACGAATACAGTGAGGCTTATGGTCACTCCTATCAGCAGCTAAGTTGTTCAATTAAACTGGTTTGCATGTCTTTGAACAAACAAACACGCAAAGTTCACACAGAGGAGAACACAGCTGAGAAATTCAGGTGGAGTCAGAAAAGACAGATTTTTATATGTGGGTTTTTTCAGAGCTTGTTTTGTTTGGCATTTTGCCTTTACTTTGATGGGAGCTCCACAGAGAGACTGGAAATGTGGATAAAGAGCACCGGGGAAAGACATGCAGCAAAGGTCCGGTCGGCTGGGAATTGAACTGACTCACTCAGTCGGTTCCGAGTCACTGCTGACAGCATTTGCACCCATGTGGTATGCACCCTAACCACTCCGCTAATGGGTTGCCCCAAAACATTTTATATATCTACAAAATCCTACAGTTGTGTGTAAACTTTGCAAACATTTCAGTTGACTTTACTTTGCCAGACATATTGTTCCAACATCGAGGATGAACGTCCCCGCTCTGTTTAATACAAGCTATAGATACAAACACATTCTCCTTGGTACCATTTAATCAGTATGTCCATTACTTAAAATGTTATGAAAGCCCCTGTGATTTCACTTTCACTCAAAAAGTACTATCGGAAGTACTCCTACATTTTGTCTTATTTTGAAGAAATCACCTCTTTTTTTGAGTAGCAGAATGACACAGTAAAATATTACACTGCAGCAACACTGTTATACAGTTGTATTTTGTAGTAAGAGCCTGTTCTGTAGCACAACAGCCAAATAAATCAAAAGGGCAGATACAGTGCATGTATGATGACTAAGCAGTGGTGGAAAGTACATCTACTCAAGTATGATAGTGAAGTACATTTTTGTAGTTCTTCACTGCACATGACAAGACAACTTCCATTTTTTGCTATCTTCTATTCCATTTATCTGACAGCTAGAAGCTATCAACCCATAGATTCAAGTGTCTTATAGCATATAAATCCGTTACAATGAGCGTGGTCTTAACCAGCCCCAACATTAAAATGCTGCTTCCACTTTCATGCATCAATACCACTGCAGTAATCTTCTATATGTTATAATACAACACTCTTAAGGGAGACATCCTGCATAATGAGTACATGTATTTTGCGGCTACGACAGCTATTAGTATTAAACAATCATTAAACGTGTGGTTTCTACTTGTAACAGTTTCCTTGACATAGTAGTTTCCAAAACTGTGAGTGAAAAAAAAAAAAAAAAAACATCATGGGGAGACCAGGAGGAAAAACAGTCTGTCACATTACAAAGAGTGGCTCACTGGCTGCTTAAATGTGATTAGTGATTGTAAGAGTCATCTGATACCACTCTGCCTAAACTAATGAAATGTCAGTCTATCAAAGACAATAGTTTAAACCCTTTGGAGTGTCCTGTTATTATCAGAAATTATTTTGTGAGTGTTAAGAGGAAGTTTGTAACATACAGAATGGGGGCCCAAAACACACAAGAGAGATTGCGTGAAGATTTCTGTTAACAGATGCTTCTGAAATTTGGGACTCTCCATAGCGGAACTACAAAAACACATGACAGGATTTTCAAAATAAAGAGTGCATTTACTACACATGCCATGTTTGATGTATAAACAAGAAAATAAAGAAACTGCAAATGTTAAATTCATCATTTCTACAAAAGGCTACTATAAACAGTGCAACAGTACTAGTAAGGCCTCATGTTTGATATCCGTGTGTGTGTGTGTGAGTAGACAGATTGGCAAAAGACCAATAGGTCAGAAAAGACCAGAGAGAATAATGGATGTGTTGTGTCCACAGGCAAACTGAAACAAGAGTAGGAGGAAGAAGGAGAACCAAATGAAAAGGCGAAAGACGAGAATTGCAGGGAGCAAAAGACGTTCAGCGCAGAATGAAGGCATAGAGCCAGCGAAGTACATGTGTGCGTAATTCTATTACGTACTAATTCAGTAAACTCAACAGATGAAGCAGGGAGTCGGGCAGGGAGAGAGGCAGGTGAAGTAGAGTTCAGAAAGATAAGACACAGATGGAGGGAGATAAACAGGCGGGCACATAGGCACACAAACAATAGGTGTGTGGGGTTTTTGTGATTCTTTTTCTCCGTGCCTTCATGTCTACACGTCGCTCGCTGCCCACTCAGAGCACCCGATGACCACTGACCCCTGCACGTCCCACCCACTCCACCCACTCTTCATTCTCTCCCTTATTCCCTGTCTCACCCACTTCCCCTGGCACTTTCTTCCTTTCCTCGCTCCCCTCTTCCAAGCTGTCAACTCCCATCATTTGCTCCTCTGGGGTGCTGATATATGATTGCAGAAGACAATTATGTGAAAGAAACTCGAGGGGGTGTGCATGTGTGATTCAGAGCTGGGCTTCCCTCTGTGTCAGCACAGGAGAAGGAAAAGCCCAGGAGTGAGTCTGCAGGTGTGTGGGGGTTCAGGGTGGGAGGCAGGGTCAAACTATTATGGTCAATAAAACCACCTACGAATTGTGCGCCATATGTGAAGTCATGTGCTGACTAATGATATCATAGTGACAGTTAATGTGACTGATTACAGCTCTGATTACACTGCGATATATAAGTCATTATTGATGAATATGGCAGGGACGATGATCATGATGATAATGAGGCTGATGATAATTAGATCACTAATGATAATTATGATTGCCAGCCTGTTCGCTCTCTCATTCGTGCGGATATACGTGTTTTTTTCTTTACCACTCTGAATGCTACAGCAAGGAGAGAGGCGCACACAGGCAGAGAGAGAGAAGTGAAGTCTTTAAAAAGTCTCAATACTCTCATTAATCATTCGACATGCATCAGCAGAGATGCATGCTTTTATTCCGTCTATAAATAGAAGAGCTGTATCTGTGGCATCGCTGATTGCCCAACCCGAACACACAAACACCTAAGAGTATGAAACATACACATCATCAACCATATTGACTGCAATTAATGTCATCATTTTACAAACAGTTCCAGGGTGAAAGATTAATGAGTAACTTAGGCTGAAATAAAGGGGGGAGATAAACAACAACGCACAATGCAAAAATCATCTGCTGTTACTGTTATATTTACATAAAGATAAAGTGCCAGTTACCGACAGAAGCCCCACCCAAGCTCCAACTGTGTGTCTGTGTGCACTTTCTACTTCTCACTGTTTGCAGTCTGCAGCTGTCAGGAGGAAACACACCTGTCCTGCATGTAAAAGCGTGAATAAGCAGATCCCTACCCTCTGCATACACACACTTTAATCCCTGCTGATGATGCAGACATGATGCACCCATCCTTCAGCACACACAGGAGATACTCTGAGGAATCACACAGGCAAATTAGGCTACACGATCTTGACTTGCCAACACACACACACACACACACACACACACACACACACAAAAACTTGTGTCACAGGTAAAAAGATAGATAAAGGGAGGCTGAGAAAAGCTCTCTGCTTTTGTGGCCCCTGCAAATGAAGATAACACCCCTGTGCACACAGACACACACCCATGTACACACACGTCGACTCTTTATTTACTAAAGCACCTAGTGGCTCACTGACACTCTTTGGACCCGGATACAACAGCAGGAAAGCACGCACATACACACACACACACACACACACACAACTACACAAAGGAAGATAGGTTTCATTTCTGTCTCTATGTGCATGCGAGGAGGATGATGTATTCTAGTAATCAGATTTTCAAATCAGATCGATACGTAAGGGTTGAAATGTGGAAGTATCCTTGCCAAAACTGCCGGCGGTGAAGCCAAATGTGTCTTAAGGTGAAACTGACAGCACTATAAGAGGTTCTGAGCCAGCTCGGAGCCAGTTAAGCACTACATTTACAGTCAGTCAGGTTCCCAGCCAACATCTGAGGCTATAAGAGGAAGCTGTAGTGTGCACTGGCAAAGCAAGCTGCAAGCGTAACTGTGATTTAACAACATCTTTGTTCCATTTCTTGATCATTTTTACAGTTTCCGAGGAGCCGAGGGGCACAATGGCATCCGTGACTTCAATTAAACTTTAACTTTGTTTCTTAATGTTTGCAAATTCAAACTATTTCTGTAATCATGTATTTCTATTGAGAAAAAAAAACTACATATGTGCTTTGAGGACACTGAGTCTGTGACTGTGGTCAGATGTTATATATTAGATGGTACGCAGCAGCTTTGCCTTATGATGCCTCCATATAAACTTCAAAGACAAACACTCATACTTGAGACAGGCTGCCACGACTGCTGTTTAACTTGATAACAAAGTTTGCTCATGGCGCACTTTCACATGCCTGTCACATCACCTTACCTAAACAACTGATCCACACAGAAACGACTACATTTTGCCACCTGCTGCACTTTCTGTACTGCACCATTTGATGTCAGAATACTAAAAACAACAAAAGCCCGCCACACATCACACAGCGCCCAAAATAATCTGGTCATTAAACCCACAGATAGTAGGGGTCGGTTTAGATTTTTAGATTGTGAAAAGCAGCAAGTCCTCAGATTTGAAAAGCTGTAACCAGAGAACACAATAAACCAAACTGATTTTTTTTTTCTATCAGCTTATTATCCAGCTGACTCCTGTTTTGAAGCCTTGTCAGTTGTACTGTCTATTGTAATTTTTCAAGCTTTTCTTCACTTCCCTGTGTGCTAAACGGATGCCAAACTGTAGCAAATTTAATTCCACATTTACAACAAAGTGACATATTAAACTCACCCTACATGGTACAGTTTCGCATAAAGACTTGAAAATAGTTAGACTGGCCGAGGGGGATGTGTCTCCAGAGAATTAAACCTGCCCCCAGTTCTCACTTCTCTTTAGTATGGGGACTTCTCTCATAGTGTGCATCAGATATCAATTCACATGTCTACTAATACACATTAGCAAGGTTATGTTCACTAAAGGTTCCTATACCCAAGGGTCTCCAGGTGAGCCATAACCATCTTATTGGGACATTTTTGTTTGTGTGCGTCCTTACAAAGGGACAATACACAGTGTGCTTTGTCATTTTTGCTATTTGTGGCCAGTATAAACCTCTGCAACTACAATCAGACCATGCAGCAAAAAGCAGCGGTTAAAGCATGTCAGCAGTTTAACTCATATGGGAATTTAGAAAGCACACCTCCCTGCCAACTGGATTATAAAGCAGGGTTTTATTTCGCCCCATCCCCTTTGTGTTTATGCTGCTGCCACATGACCATGTCCAATACTTTCCATTCCACTTTGACGTTCAATAGAAATGCACCACAGTGAGCACATGATTATTTTTTTCATTAATAAAACAAAAACAAAAACATATATTTCATTACCTGTGGGGTATAGCCTCACCTTAATTTTGTGGACAGACTTTCCCTCCTCCAGAGCCTGGGTCCACACCACGATCCCCCCCTTGCTGTGGGTCATACTCCAGCCCTCTTCGCAGATACACTCCGCCTTGAAGCTGGCGAAAGCCCGGTCGTCCGGGATGGTCACAGTCTGTGCAGACATGGCTCGTTACCGGGAGGAGACACAGAGAGGAGGTCTAGGAGACTCCTGGTGAGACGGAGAAGCTAAAAGAAACCGAGAGTCAACCAAAAATGTCCTCCTCTTCAGTGGAAATAAGTTGTCTAATTCAATTTCCTCTTTGGGAGAAGCTTTTGCAGGCTGCGTCTTGTGATGGTGTGTGTGTGTGCGCGCGTTCAGGGAGGTCCAATAACCGCAATCCACCCTGCACAAACTAATGAAACAGAGGTGTACGCACAGCCTCGCACAGGTGAGAGCGCCCGAAATAAGGCAAAAGAAGTGCGGGAAAATGTTTAGATGATCGATTCAAATGTTTCTTTCAAGCCGATGTCGGTGGTAGAATAAGTTTGTGTCCGCTTCGGCAGTCCTCACAAACAGCCGCTCTTCACACAAACCATATGTTTCTGCGTTTCCGCTCGCCACTCTCCGTTTCTGTCTTTTCCCCTCCGTCTCCAGCTTTTCGCTCTCCTCCTCTTGGATGTCTCTCTGCTTCTGCCTTCAGCCGTGATCCTCTATGAGCTTTACAATAATGTGCACAAGCTCTCCATCGCTGCGTCGCTGCTGTGGCAGGTGGTGGAGGGGATGCGGTGAGGAATAAGAGGAAGAGGGGAAGGAGGTGGAGGGAGAGAGGAGGAGGAGGAGAGATCGGGCTGCACCGGCAGCAGGCGATGCAGCGACAGCTACCGTGCAAGCGCCTCCCTGTGCTGCCTTCAGGTGCTTCTCGGAAAGCTCACCTCCCTGCCCTGCGGACATAATCCTAATGTTTTATTGAGAAGTATGGAGAGCTGTTTGAGCATTTAATCCATGTCCTGCTCATCAGTCATGACTTTCCTCCACTAGTTAGATCTTTTCCAACATTAAGTTGGCTTTTTTTTTTTGACAAAAACTCTTACTAGCTATTCTTTTTCAGAAACTGGTGGCACTTCTGTCCAACTAGTTCCAACAGAGGCCTTACTGGTGAACCGAGGAACTGTAATAATGGCACCAAAATCCAAACTAATCACCTTTTTTTGACACATTTGTGAAACTCTTGCTAGTTAACGAGTGAGTTGCAAAAACTCTGGCACTAGTCAGTTCAGCTCAGTAGTTAAGTAGTGACCTTAAATGTTCTGTACTAGTTTCCTACTGATAGCCAAATGCTAACTAGTTAACTAGTGAAGGCAAAGTAAAGCAGCTTTAATTATATAGCACATTTCAAATACTGGATGATTTCAAAGTGCTTTAAATAATAGAAATAACAAAGAAAAACCTAATAACACCACAGCGAAGGACACCAATAAAAATTTCAAGTTTAAATTCTTTCATTCATTAAAAATACTGATAAGTTTAAAACTTAAAGCTTCTTTTGACCCCATAAGTCAACTAGTAAGAAAATGTTACACTAGTAAGTAATTTTGATTCAACTGTCAACTAGTAAAGTCCAAAATAGTCACTAGTTAACCGGTTAAAGCTTCTTCAGACATCACAGCAGTTTAAGACAAAACACTTTAACCAACTAACATTAACTACAAATATATTAACGACTACTATTAATAGCATTTTTGCCTAATAATGACGCTAGCTATTAGCTCAGGTATGTGTTAAGGCTGCATGAGTAAAACTTTAAGCTAAATAGCTAACTGCGATTTTTGCTAAATAACTTTCCCACAAACCGCTATGGTTTGTAATATTATTTATGTTTTGATAAATAATGAGTAGACTAAGATCTGTGTAGTTGTAGCTTATTGTTATGGGCTACATTTTTAGACTCAATAATGGATTGCTAATGGTAGGCAAACGTTTTTAGGTTAGCAGTAGACCTGCCTTTAACCAAATCTTCTTCTTTTTCTTTTATTTCTTCATTTTCAAGGTTTTACAGTAGTTAGTACACTTTCCTGATTTAAATTAGCCTTCAAAGCACTTTGTAGTTGTTGTGGAAGTTTAGCAAATGCATCTTCAGTATTGTGGGTGAAAGATTGTGGAGGAGGAAGAGGTTTAGCTGCATTTTCTATAATGGTTTCTGTGAAACCAGTATAGTCTCCACAGCCACTTTAAACTCAACTTTAAAGCACACCTTTATTATTGACATACGCTAAGTAGACTGCATATGGTGACCAGGTTGTTTTCTAAAACATGCAGGTAATCCCTAAATGTATGTTTTATTGTTTTCGGTAAGTCCATTTCCCTACTGTCCTTGAACGCAATCTGAGCCAACACACCCCACACCTTTTTGTAAACTAGCTGGTTCACAGAGCAGCGGGGACACATGGCCCCAGCTGGCTGACGTGTAAAGTATTTGAGAGTCTTTATCTTTCTTTAAGTCCTATTTCCTTATGGATATGTGAGCTATCAGTTACAAGAAGGCATAAGCTCACAACTACCGAGAGCAATAAACACATTTAAATGTCTTGTATTGCAGGCATTTGTGTCACTGACTGTCTGTTTTATTCCCTCACTCTGGTTAAATGCGCCTTCTTATTTTTCTTTTATTCTGTGCTGTCAGTCTCTCTTCCATTCATCTCCCTCCTTTCCTCTTGGAGTGTGTGAGCCCATTATTGGCCTCCTTCAGTTTGATCTGTGGGTGTTCTCACGACATCTAGAAACCTAAATAATCTGAGCTTCTTCTTACATTTTATTCTTTGACTTTGCTGTATATTTCTGTACAGATATGAAACAAGGATATAGTGTGCAAGGTTTTTTCCTTCTGTGCAGGAATGTTTTATCCTTGGTAGCTGCTGTGGTTTACAATGCAATCCACAGTCCATCTACATGGCAGTTGCCTCTTACAAGCAAACACGCAACAAATAATACAACATTGTACATCTGTCACACAGTAACTGTCACACTGTATTATCATCCTTTGCATGGTGCTGCTATGCAACAACTGTCAATAAAAGCTGGTAAAAGCAGCAAGTTTTCCATTACTGTCCATGACCTTTGACCTCCAGGTGAAAGAGAAGATACTTCCCTCACCATTATGAACTAAGCATCAATGTGTCATATTTAAAATGGAACACACAATTCATGACAGAGGGCCAAAAGTGCAATTCGAATAGCCACCATAAAAACAGTATGTATAGAATCAAATTGGAGCGAAGCCACTTAAAACGTTTAGTGACTGTAAACCACAATAAGGTTTAAAAAGTGTTTTTCCCCACAGATAATGTTTCCATTATCCATGACATCGTGCTTGTGTCAGTGCAATACCAGGATTGGCTGAATGTTTTGCAGTTTGTCTGTTATAAAGCAGATGAATAGCTTTTTGCACACAGAGGTGGAAGGCAGGGCATTTGCCTTACAAAAGGTTTTTTGAGTTGTTTCACAGATTTTAAGTGGCGAGTCTCTTTCGCGTTTTTGTGTCTGCTGTGAATAATTGCAGTGAATCTGATTCATTTAGAAACGAATCACAAGATGGTGCCAAGGTTTGGAGAATTTCAGTTAACAAGACTGATCCAGAAGGCAAAGAAACATGTAAAATGCTACATTTTTTAATAGGCAAGAAAAGAAAAACTGGTGGTAGTCATTTGGCACAGAAACGTCAATCAAATCCAATGTTGCTTTTGAGTTCTGCAAGACAGCCTTGCATTTTTGTTTCTTTCTTTTTTTTGTTGTTGTTTTTGTGGTGACATTACTTGGGTTCTCTTTGTTACTAGTTTTCCCAGTATTTCAAAGGTTGATAGTAATGGTGCTGAATGTATTGTGGTGCCATGCAACAACATTAAAATCCTGAAATGGACCTAAACACACAGCCAGCACAGGTGTAATTAATAATAATAACTACAGCTATAATCTATTTAGGTGAGTCAGTTTCAGGGCTCTGCGACTGCGCATTCTGGCTCACCGAGTTAACTTACAGGCTGAAACAGAGAGACTGATTTACTGAAACCAATTCATTGTTTGAAATTGGTTTCACCTGTGTCTGCAAACTTATTGTGGTCCATGAGCGGTGGAGCTGACTGTCTCAAGGCACAAAAAATAGCCATCACTGTTGAGATTAATAGTGATAAGAGAGTTTCAAAAATACTTTATAGACCTAAACTAACATGCTCATGTGGGTAACTGTAGCTGGATTTGCTGTTGGTGTCTACAATATTAAACCCACACTGCCATGCCTGTAGGATTTAGATGAGACGCCTGGTAAAGGTGTCCGTAGATTTATGACGGCAGAGCATGATGTCCTCCATGATTCATGTCTGCACAGTAAGCCTACTGCCAACACACAGCATACCCACCAAATAAATTACAGCTGTACTCCACTGGGAGAGGCCCACTCTTTTACGTCAGAATGGTTCTGCTTGGATTGATTTTCAGCCACAATAAAATGTCATTTTTAAATGTATAATAAAAAATTTCCTGTACCTTTGGTGGTAACCTAGTCATATGCAAGTAGTAGGTGTAGCTGAAAATGTCAAGCAGTAGTCTCCACAGATTTTTTGAAAAATGTGCCATTCCTCCTACTAAATGTAATGGCCTTCAATCATTGTCTGCTGCACCATCACGTTTCAACAAGAAATAATAAGACAAATTTAAGGAGGCAAGTTTATATATTCATCTCACGCATATCAGGATAGGTTTTTCTAGGGCAGGAAGTAATAAATTCATGTAGTGTTTCCCCTCAAGTTTGCACCACTGCTCTGCTTTCGCAGGCATTTTTGTCTGTGTTTGAGAATGTGGCTCTGTGTGTGCTGGTCAAATGTTCTTTTTCCTGATAGAAGAGCAGTGTAAATCATTTAAAGTTCACTGCACTTTTCAGTCTTTTTGTCCTTTAGTCTCTCTTTTACTGTCACAATAAAACTAATGAAATACAAACAAGGCACATCGTTAAAACTGAGGAGACAGGCAGCAAGGGAATCAAAAATATGCAAAACACTATGTCCTGTGATTTATCCTTTTTCCTCTCTGTCCTCTCTCTCCTTGTACTTTTCAGGTTTCTGATCTGCAGTTACTGGCTCCACCAAGTTGTCCAGTGTTTATCGCTTCCAGCTCCCCATTCTCACCACACTGTGAAGCACAATTTTCTACTCTACTTGTGATATGCCTCATAGTTTATGCCAGCTTACTCATCTGTAATATAAACTACTATCAGCACTGACACAGTTTTCTGCCTCATTGCTCAGCTTCTTCTTATAACGGCAACCTTATGAGCAAACTGTATGCCCACTAAGCTGTTCTATAATTAATACATTGAATGCTGCCTCTTTTAGTTTTATCCACTGCCAATCTTGGTTTTAGACTTTTAAACCAAATTTGTTTTTTTTTTTTTTAAATCTGGCAGCAAAGGTGCCAGAAATACAAATTTTTCTTTTTAAAAAGACCATAAAAATGGTTGAATAATGTAATGTTCAAAAACTGTAAAGCAGTGAAAATAAGAGCCAGTACCTGTAAAATAATGGTGTTTTCAGCTGAAAACTGTGTAATTTTATGGCCACACATTGCAAAAGAACATATCATTATTTGTAAAATTATTCACAATTTTGCCCTTTAATTTCAGTCAATCTATAAATTCATAAGTTTTCTGTGAATTTACTAGATATTATCTGTAACATTCTGATAGAATTATTTACCACTTTTAAATAACAGCAAATATCGATAACATATATTTTATATAATATTTATAATATTTTGTAATTTATATTTAAACACAGGGCAAAGTGTGTCACTGCACCTGCAAATGTTGCAGAAGAAAAAACATTTAAAAAAAAAAAAAGAAAAAGAAAAAGAAAAAAAAAAGCTAAACAAAACAAAAAACCTCAAACACCCAGAATTTTAATGTGGACGTTGATTTTTATTATTATTATTATTATTATTATTATTATTATTATTATTATTTATATTGGGTTTATCCTGTTTTCTAAACTGAACAATTTCTTCTGAGAATTTTTTCTATAATTAACAAAACACAGAAAATTGGTAAAATGTTTTTATAAACTGTTAAATGTAAAATGTTCATTTAAAAGAAGTGCATCATGTGCTCTCTGTTTGTATCGTGTGCCACATATAAGCTAATATGCTTTGTCCTGGTGCACATATGAGTCTGACTACTTCCTTGTCATTCTCTCCTCCCCTCCTCTTCCCCGTTCTGTTCTGTCCCATCTCCTACTTTTGCTTTTTCTTTAGAATCCTATAGAACCTTTACGAACTGGGTTCTACTCAAAGTTTCTACCAGTTAAAGGGAAGTTTTTCCTTACTTTCTTACTCTGGGAGGTTCGGGATCTGGGCTCTGTAAAAAATCGTGAGACAATTTTGATTGTTATCTGTGCTATATAAATAGAATAGAATTGAATTATTCACATGACATGAAAATTGCACAGGAATCTATTAATTATCTTTATTTTTCTGAACACAAAAAGAGATTTAAGTTAAAGAGGAAAATGAGATTAAATCTGAACTACTTAGCCACGAGTTTCACTGGGAAAAGAAATAGATGAGTGAGAAAACAGGATGTTCAGCTCAGATGTGGAACAACAAGTGATAATTCAAATAAAATGATCGATGATGAGTTTCACATTTACTGAGAATGCATAATTTCCTGTGGGGCTGACATATATCTAAATCCTAATTTATAAGAAAAACTTTGATTACTTTACAACTTATGATTTAGTATAAAGTAATAATTAAAAAGACATATTGTATATTCTCAAAATCATGTCTGAACCTGTAACTGAAAAACACTATGCCTTGTACTTGTCCTGTAAGAGACCAACTAAGATGATGACATTTACCTAGCCGTCCCTCAAATGTATTCATACCCTTCCATTAAAGAAAAGGCAAAATTCACAATAGTCACTCAAATAACTGGAAACTGAAAAAAGTAATATTTATTTTAAAAAGTAAAAT